GAGTAATAAAATTGGGAGTAAAATGATGCAAGATAATAACTTGGTTAGGGTTCAATCGCATGTTAATTGAACCCGTGAGCCTTGAATTGTTCATACTTGTTCGTGATGAAAATGGTTCAAGAGTCATTGTCAACCACTTCCTAGGATCAATTCATGATAGCGAGGGGGTTTGAGAGTCTTTCATTGTGCATATTATTGAAATTGTTCCCTTTGGTTCATAGGCCATCATGCAAGGAAATTACATCAATTGATGGTTTGTGAATCAAATTTACCACTTCTTTAAGCTATTTGATGATAAAGAGGGGTAAAGTGTACTTTGAGAACACCCTGTTTTGTGCACTGTATGTTTTTTGTTGCAGCAGGGGGAACCAAGGTTCAATGGCCAGCAGACCACTATTTCTGGACGGCAGGCTACCATTTGTGGCTGGCCGGCCGGCCATCACTTTTGGCCTGCCGACCACTTTTGTCATATTGAGCAACAACCCTTCTGGAATAGAACAGAGTAGAAGATGAGGTCAAAGATGTTCTACTATGCAACAGAAGCATTCTGGCAGCAGAACAGTGTGCTTTTCGAGTAGAAATCCGCGCATGCATGAGCATCTCTCACTTCCCGGGACTAATTAGTTATTTTTGTTACTTTATTCATGTTGTAATTAATTAGTTAGCTAATTAGCATTTTGTAATTAATTAATTAGTGTAATTACTTAGTTAGTTCCAATTTGTAATAATTAGTTAGAATAGTTAATTTGTTGTGATGTTGTAATAACTAGCTAGTATAGTTAGTTAATTTGTTTTGTAATAATTAGTTAATTAACTTAGCTAGTTAATTTATTCGAACCCTCCTGCAGGGCCGGCCCTGGGGGCAGGCAAGAGAGGTCTGTGCCTTGGGCCCCCAAATTTGGGCTGAAAATAGGGGCTCCCAAATATAATTTTGTGTTTTAGATATTAAAAAAAAAAAAAGAAAAAGCCCAAATACTATAGGCCCAATTGAACATGAGGCCCAAAAAAAAGCAACAAGACTACATTTTTTTTTTTAAGTATTTGTAATGATTGTTTCCTATCTTAATACATGAAAGTAAATTTTTATTTATAATTTTAATCATTATATGTGCAAGAAATTTTTTTTTTGGCTACAAACAAATAAAAAATTGTAACTTATCGTTTTATCCATAATTTTTTTTTTCAATGTAAGAAGGCCTCATTTATGAAGTGTTGCCTTGGGCTCCCTAAATCTCAGGGCCGGCCCGGGCTGAACTAGCTCTATTATTCCTTTTGATAATGTTGAATTTCACAGCTTTCAATTAGTGCATTTTTCATGAATGACAACATAAGAAAAGTCAATGACAAAAGTTGCCAGTAAGCATACCTCAGATCTTTTAGCTTTGAGTTGTTTGTATTCAGCACTTTCACGATCAAGTCCTTCCCAGAGTCCAAACGGTTCGGTTCCTGGCATATAGGCATGTAACACATGTTTCCTAGGGGGTACAAGATCTGGAATAAGCACACTGGGTATAGATATCAAAACAACATTTTGATACATGATAGGGAACATGACCATGCTTACATGTGCTTGAAATTCTATGCCATGTACTACCTGTCCTCTGCTGCTGTCAAAAACCAGCTTCTGCAGGAAGTTTTTGCTGACCGGCACTATAGAATGCCGACCGGCCGTATATTGGTGACCGATAGACTTGAAAGCAGCCGACGGAAGTTTCCTATGGCCGGTGGTCATTTCACTTAGCTGGTGGTGTTATGCAGTGCTCATTGAAGATACCCTGAGACTTTGGCAATTTTCAGAGGAGCAGGTCAGCATTAATAGAGGCAGCAGTGGCATGGTACGGCTTTCCGGGCAACATGGACCGAGCATGCATCATTTACACATCCCGAGGCGGGGGCTGCGGCCGTCTTCTCTTTGCATTTAATTTGTTAATTAGATTAGAATTTTGTAATATTTAACTTAGTATTATTTATTCGGATTGTAATATTTATTCGGGCCTTCCGAGCGAGGGCAATTGTGTAATAAGTGTGCGTGAGTGTGTGTATGTCTTCTAACCCCACGTCTTTCTTCCCTTTTATTTACCCGCTTATGATGGTAGACTAGGGCATATTTAAATTAGCATACCTTATGCTATGCATGCGTGCATCCATACATTTGTATTACATACATTAGGCTCGGTACATCACGCTAACTGCATCTGTACTTCAATTCACAAATTGAATATGTGGTAGTTGATCGCATTTCACATGCCATGTTTAGGGTTAGCCGAGCCTGCCTAGATTGCATTTTTGCATGTGATGCATTAGCCATTTTTAACATGAACTAGGACATGCATGTTTGCTGACTAGTTTACTGTTTTGGCACGGAGTACGATGTAAGTATTTATGCTTTAGCATCCCGCATGTGTGTGAGTGTTGCCAT